CCCGGGGGTTGGCAGCCATGTCTACCCCGTGGAGAGAGTTGGAAGGCGCAGGCGGTGGGAAAGTGATGCTTAAGTCCAATCCGCCGTAGCAGTACCTGGATGCCTGCACCTCTGAGGCCGATCCATAGTTCCCACAAGTTTGCATGTTATAGGCAGGGATATTGGGGCTCTGCTTATAGAATGAATTGGCTACGTAGGAGCTCATGGCGGGGAGGGCCCAAAAAAATTTCTGCACCCTTTTTGATTAAGGGTGATTTGTGACTCTTTGAAGTTGAGGGGTTTTTTGTTCTCCAAAGTGCACAATTTATAGGTGGAGATATCTCTTTCTTTATCCTATGCGCTCTTCCCAAATAAGGGAGCCTTAAATAGAGTCACGTGACTGGAGCGGCCACTCATAAATTTGGCTTGATGACCTCCGGGAGGTTAGTGATGGAAGCAGGCGAAACGCATCTTGATATGTTGGCAAAGCCCAACCCGGGGGGTGGGTGGGGGGACTGAGAGAGAGAAGCAAGGGGGAGAAAAAAAATGGTTCTTGGAATTGGGGGGTAGTCGGGACAACGAGCTCACAGCGACACCTGGTGCCAACTTGGAGGAATTGCATCCTGAAGTATCGCTTGGCCTTCTGGTAGCTGGATTGTTGAGAAGTTGCTTGTTGGACAAACTAACCCTTGACCTGGCCTTAAAATTCTGTCTAAATTTGAGAAAAGATGAGGCATTGGTAAGGTTTTACACAGGTGGTTTTTATAATGGAAAGTGCCAGTTCCCTTCCTCCAGAGTCTTCCAAACTTCAAAGATGACTGAGAAAGGGGGTTGGGGTAGCTAAAGTCCAGGCTAGAGAACCAACAGGGTGGGTATACTTAAGTTACCTAAACCAAAGATCAAGGCCTCTAGCTTGGGAGGGTTGGATAGTTCTGCTGAAGAGCTGCTTGTCTTGTCCGCTTGGAAAAACGAACTCAACCTCTGGGAAGTAGGCAAGTTACCCAGGGGAGGGAGGGTTCCTGAGTGGGCAGAAGCAGGCAGAGAAGTCCTGAGACCTAATCCTGGGGACTCTCTGGGATGTGACTGGAGGGGCCAGGTGGACTTGGGTTACTTCACTAAGTTAGGAACTCTAGTGGGACAAGAGGCAACATTCCCATGTGTGTAAACAGACACAATGGGCTGGGGGACCCTCCTATAGCTGTGTGTGATCCTCCTCGGGTACTGATGCCCAAATTTCAGATAGCAAGTAGAGGGCACTCCAGGGCATGAAGGGGCAATATTCAAACTCCCACAGATATTATGAGCAAGGCAGAGATAATGGCCTGCTTGTACTCTTTTGGGGGTAGGCCCTTAGACCAGGCTTCTCAGAAACTTCAATCTAGAAGACCCACAGGACATTTTCTGGACTCTTCAGAGGCATAGGGAGGGGGTGGGGAGGCCAGGCAACTGGGCAACCTAGACAGTATTTGGCCCGGGTTTCTTCAACCTTTGCGTCCTTTGCCCTGCTTTCTTAGTTCCCAAACTACTCTTTGCTGTCTGCCTTTCCCCAGGGTCTCTCGGCCTCTGCCAGAAGTCCCCCTCCCCGCTGGTGAAGGCTCTGGAGGAAGGGGGCGGTGGTGGCAGGGACCTGGAGAGTCTGGGAAACTCGGGAGGAATTTTTCCCCCTCCGGGAGACCACCCACCCCCACTTCTCCCCTAGGCCCACTCAGGTTTCTCGGCGAGGCTTGAGGAAAGAAGGCTGGAGCCTAGAAACAATTAGTTTCCTACTGCTTCCCTTACACATTAGATTTGAGGAGAACAGATGCAAGAACAGGACAAGCTAGGACTATAAGAAAGAAGGAATTTTGTCTGTTAGGAGTCCCAGCTCAGGCCAGAGCTCAGTTTCCAGTCTTTCTCTTTCGAGATGTCCTTGGATCGCTCAGTCCCTGCGAACAGACTCAAATCCTGCCGTCCTTGGGTTGCCAGGGCGCTTCTGCCACGTTTCGCAACAGCCGGCCTGGCGGGCCGGGGGTTTGCTCGCTAGTCTTCCTCCGGACACTGCTGGAAGTGGGCGCGGGGTGGTGGGGGGAGACGACCCTGGTGCTCGGATCAGGCTTCTTTTCTCGCTTTTTGGGCTCAGAAGCCGAGGATTCCAGGCTCCTACAGGCAGGAAGAAAGGCCCGCGTGGGGCTTGCAGCCCAACCGGGCTCACTCAGGCTTCCCCGCCCCCAGCGAAAGTCCAAGCGGCCCTTTTTCCTCCTTTTCTTTTCCGGGGTGTGTGTTGCTCCGTGTAGGGGAGGTCTCAGAGACCTCTCAGAACCCCAGCAAGGTCAGGAGAACCCAGAGACGGAGGGTCGGCGCCCGGCTGCAGGGCAGGCGAGTGAGGAGGGCTGGGGGCTTGCAGGCGGCAGGCCACGAGCTGGAGCTCTGCTGCAGGCCAGCGGGCGGGGAATGAACAAACAGGCGGATTATAAACTTTTAAAAATAATATCAGTTTTATTAAATATTCGAGAACGGATCCAGAGGTCGGATTTATACAGGAGGATAACACGAGGGGGGGTATTTTTTCTTTATTTATTTTCTCCTACTGGCTAAACAACCGTCATTCACTTTTTTTCTCTTTTTGTTATTTTCCCTCTTTTTTTTAAATCCTTTTTAAAATGAACTCGGAACACTGATGGAGCTAAACATAAATATAAATACAGAGACCACAAATACAGCTAGAAATATTCACACAGAAACGGTCACAGTTCGTAATATGCCATAATGACCCCCAGGAATCTTTAAATACAATTTGCCTGGACTGGGCATTTGCTGGGGCAAAGGGGCCGGGCAGGGACTGGGGAGAAGCCCTGGGTGGGGGTGGGGGGTGTTGT